ATATTTGGCCAAATATCCGCTAACCTGTCTTGACTGGCATATAAAGGGGATGTAAAATGCTGTCTGTCACCCCCTCTGTAGCATTAACAGCTGTAACTGTCCTACAGGTTTAATGGAGCCTGTTTTAAATGACATGTTTCAACCATTCCACCAAAAGCGCCAACATGTTTTACTGTGTTGAAGTCAGAACTCAGTGCAGACCAGTCAAACTAAACAACACAAACTCTCCTCTGTGTATTTATGGATGTTAACATTGTGCTTTATCGCACAGTCCTGTAGGAGGAGGCTTCATAGATGCTTCCAGTGGAACTAAGGGGTCAGCTCCTTTTTATAGATGAATTAATAATCGTATAGCCAAAGATTCCTTAAAGGACTTTTTACGAAATTAAACCCAGTGAAACTAAAACTTTTCCACTTGAGCAGTTCTGGATAGAGCATACTGACAGATGTAAAATTCTTTTTTATCTTAAAACCAAAATGTTTATATATTTTTTACAATCTTGGTATAATTACTGCTCTAAGTGGGTTGATGGCACAGTGGTTAGCGCAACATAAAAGACGAGCCACTAGAGCCGTAACAAATTATTAATTGATTACTAAATTAGTAGTTTCAGCCCGACCCTTTTCCATTGCTACTCTAAAGGCTGGGGCTTTTGAAAGTTGCGGTAGCATTTTCACAACCCTTTAAATTAAGTTTTACGTAACTTTAGACCCTTAAAAGACCTTGTACTATGTGGGCTTTTAAGAGATGAGTTGCTTACAGCCAAACTGCTTAATTCCTCCATCAGCAGTTGTATGTAATGAGGGTGAGTGTACAGGTGCCTGGTTCTGCTGGAGGTTTCTTCCTGTTAAAAGGGAGTTTTTTCTCTCTACTGTCGCTACAAGCATGCTTAGTGTGAGGGATTGCCTTCAAGTCAATGAGTCGATGCAATCAACTGGTTTTCCTTAGATAGAAAACTTTGAATCAATTTGACTGTATGATCTGATTGAACTGTAAAGTGCCTTGAGATGACTTGTGTTGTGAGTTGGCGCTATAGAAATAAACTGAATTGAATGTTGTTTATATCTTACTAGCCATGAAATGTGTTTAGAAATGTTATTAAGTGAGAAGGTACACCCCTAAACTTCATCTGTGTGGTCAACCTACTTTTAATCTGGTATTGAAGCGGTTGGATTACCAGGTTCAGGCGGAGTGGGCCGCCAACTCAGTCGGAATATGGAGCGTGATCTCAGGCGAACCGCAGCCGTGATGTCGTCCAGTCAGACAGTTATTACCCGTTAATTAAACAGTCATTTAAAGATTTTTAGCAGGAAAGTACATGAAAAACATTCATCTGTGAAATCAGTTGATCGAGATTATGATGGTAGTTTTTAAATATATTTTAGATCCTCCTGGTAAACTAGTCTGGCTGCTAGTCTGGCTACGCTAACCTGACGGTAGAGAGAGACCCGTCAAACCAGCCAGGGGCTCGGAGATTTCCTGCTGCCTGTATTCGTCTGCAGTGACTGAAAGTGAATATAAACCGTTCATGAAGTATGTGATGAACATTGTGGGTCTCAGAATAGAAAATGTTTGTTTGGCCAGAAGGTTTTCACATTTCAGGTCACAGTAGTTAATAGTTCTAAACCGTTTTGCCACAGTTTAAAAAAATATATAGAATCATAGAATATGTGACTGAGCTCGTTCACCTTTTATTGTAGAAACACAAAACATTCTATTCTTCTAAGCCATTCTAGGTGAACCTCGCGTGGTAGAGCGTAAACCTTACATATACATGTATTAATATACGTTATATTTAGATTTTTCAGGGCTCTATGCTGACAGGACTGCTAGATAGATCACGAGTTGGATTCTGTGTGTATGTTTATGGGGATTCTTCTTTCGTCCAATCCAATCTCCACAGCTTCTGCCTGATATAAATATTTGCTTATGTGGTCAAGGACTTTAATAAATTACATTCTGACTAGGGGTGTAAATAATAATCGTTTTGTACTGATCCATCGACACGTCTGCAAGAGTATCGATTCATGTTTTTTCCCCCTCCGGTCTGTTTTTATCAATTTGCTCCTGGACATAATTCTGACTCCCGTGCTCTGGAGGCGCTAAACTGATTTTGCCCTTGTACCTCGCTTCCTTTAGCCACTACCCTCTGTCCACTTGCACACACACACTCGCATAAACAGTAGGCAAGACAGACATGGCGGAAGAAAAAGAAGAAGAAATACACACCCCTTGCGGGTTTAAGTTATTTGTGTGGAAATATTTTGGGTTC